TATCCGGTTGATGATAAGTCACAGGCAAAGGTTTTTTAATCGGGTATCCGGGTCACCCGACTATATTCAGGTGACCCGTTTTGGTTTCGGATACCCGGTTGGAGAAGGTGTTTGACCCGACGGGTCGCGGGTAGCGATTTTCAAACCGGTTTGGAACCCTAAGTATGATACCCTCACACTTATATACACGGGTATAAATCAATATTTGGCATCGGCCTGACTAAGCCGGCTAAGCAGATAAAAATCGACTATGCGAAATCGACTACAAACACTAGTTAATCGGTCACTTTGATCAAGATTTGCATTTTTCGTCCAATAAATAAGTATACCAGATATTAATAGAAGTTTGTAATTTAGATGGGACCAATTAGGGATTGATCACCTAAATTTTCTCTCCACCGTTCGGTCCCTAATCGGCCCCATCTAAACTACTCAAAAATTAATGCAAAAATCAATAAACCTCTATTATAGAAAAGTATTTTTTCTATAACTTTACTTACTGGATGAATACTGGTTAAAAACGCCAATTTTTTACAAAAATTGCTCAAAGTTGGCTAATAATTACTGCAACATCCCTAAAAAAAAAGGTTTTTCTGAATTACACTAATTAATAAGGATTCCTACTTTAGATTGGTGCGTTACACGTAAGAAAATTAAACTTTATTATATTAAATGCGTACTACGCATAATCTTTATTAGTGCTGTGTTACAAGTATGGTAAAATTAACAATATTAAGTCATTGGTTACGAGTAAAGCTAAACCCAAAGATACTCAGGAACAAAGATACTGTAATTGTCTGATTAATTCGTCTTTGCTAGACATAGTTTTACTATCTATTACGCATCTAATATATAATAAATATTTAATAAAACAAATTTGTTTAAAATGATTTACTACATGGAATTATGTTGCTAAGTAGATCTGTATGCCGTACAGATTAACGTTTAATTGATACATAATAAACAACTTAATCCGTGTAGTAGGATTTCTTTCTTCCTTTAATTTTTTTTTTTTAACCCGTTCCCGCATTTATTATTTCTTGTATCGCCATGGAACTTAATAACTTTGAAGAAAACATGGTTGAAATTATTCCTCTAACTAACCAAGAGATTTTTGGTATTAAAATTTTTGAAGATGGTTTAAAAATAAGTCAACCTAATTTTGACAACATGGACTATATTACTATCGACGATGAAATAGAGACCAGCAGTGTTCAATCTGCCAAAGATAGGTCGTCATTTTATATGAACGATGATGATACAAATCTTTACGATATTATAGATGGTGTTGATGTTATTAATTTTAACGCTTTACGAGAAGCTGTAGAGACGTTCTTTAGGCAACCTTGTTCTTCAATCTTCAGAATAGATCAAAATATAATAAGCAACCAAATTCCTTATCTTGTAAATATGAAGGATGGTTCTGAGTATGTTGTGCGTTTATCATGTCCAATCAACCAAATTCACAAATATTCTAAGGCTTATACGTTCAAAAGATTACAAAGTGAGGCATCCATTGTTAATTATATAGCAAAACACACTGACATTCCAGTTCCTGAGATATATTACTGGAACGATGATAGTGACAACGTTATTGGCACCGATTTTGTAATAATGAAACATTTACGTGGTATTCCTCTATGTGACGAATGGCCGGATCTTACATTTGAAGAAAAGCAAGATGTTTTACTTCAAATAATCGATATTTTAATGAAATTAAAAAATCTAGAATTTCCAAAAATAGGAAGTCTGTATTTAGATGATAATGGTCAAGTAGTTATCGATGAATGCATCTTTCATGTTTTTATGCTATCAGGAAGAGATGAAACAAAAGATGCTAATTTTGGCCCATTTAGAACTACTCGAGATTTTTTACAAGCAGCATTAGATAAAGAAATCAAATTTCTTGATGGTCAGGGTGGTGAATATAAAGAACTATGGTGTCCTATCCAAAGAGAATTGGCTGAATTGTTTTGCAATCATTTCTCTGACAGATATGATGATACATTTGTTTTATGTCCATCTGAATTAACTGCCAGTAAAATTCTACTTGATCGTGATATCGACAACAAGGTTTTTATCTCCGGTTTCCTTGCTTGGGATTGTACTGGTTCATTACCAATGGAATGTCTTTTCCAAAATCCTACATGGATTAGGAATAACAGCGCTAATAGTTTGAAATATTCAGATGAAAAGAAAAAAGAAAATCTTCAATTACAATATTTCTTTTGTCGAGAGTTATACTCACGTGATCCAGACATTGAATTTATTTGTGGAGATGAAGTGAGAGCTCAATTTTTCTCAATTATTCTCCGACATTTCTTACATCCTTGGTCTATTTCCGAATTTATACAAGAATTACGCGAAACGATTGAAGAAGAAATGGATAATGAATGGACAAAATATGATGAGGAGGAGGGTTATATTAGATATGATGTGTCAAAATACAATTTAAATGAAATTGAATGCGAAAGAATATCAAATTTTAAGATTTTTGGTGAGAATGAAAGGGAATACGAGAATAATCAAGACGATGGGTAAAGGATTTATAACTTTGGGTTGGTTTATGCTTCTTAACTACGGTTAATTTTAGTAAATTTTGGTATACTGTATTAAGAATAGTTGCAACTCGAAAATAAAATTGATTCTTAATATATTACGTTCAAATCTATTTGTCACTCGGATATGTGCACAGAAAAATAAACTAGATAAAATTTTTTAGATAAACTTAAATATAGTCTTATACGAAATTTTCTTTTACTCTATTTAATAGTAATCTTCGTTAATATTTAACTAAAATATTATAATATACTGTATTTAAACAATTAATTAGTAATTCGTGAGAGATATGAAAAATTACTATAGTAATACTAATGTGCATAAGGGAATATTAAATACTGTATAATAAAACAATTATATCTATAATCTGAAGCCAGAATCAAAATTTTTTTGATCTCTGCCAAGTCAATATCTTTTGTGTTTTTACAAAATTGTAAAGACAATTTTTCTCTTTCTTGTAGTGACAAAATTATTAAAAGCCCCAGTAAATTATAAAATATTGTATTTTTATTTTTGTAATTATAAAAAATGGGTTTCATAAATTTTATTAGAAGCAAAAATATTAATTTGATAAAAGTTAAAAAATTTTAGAAATTTTATTAATATTAAAAAAATATATTTTTATAATTTTTATTAAAAACAAAAAGATATTAACCTGATAAAAATTAAAAATTAAGATTTAGATTATAGATATTTAATTGTTTTATTATTATAAAAACAGAATTAAAGTTTAAAAAAAATAAAAATAAAGCATTTTATTTATAAAAAATGTGGCAACATAGTATAGTAGTATAGTTGTTACTCTCTTTAAGTAACTTGTAATAAAAATATAAAGTTAATTTTTATTTAAAATATTTTTAAACAATATATTTGTATTATATTAACAGATGAAAGAACTCAACTACATGCTTAAAAGAAAAGAAATAGTAGTTAAATACAAATTAACTACATACCTAAGACCAAAAAATGAAAACACAAAATCTAACAATAATTAATTATATATTTGAAACCAAAAGATTAAAAGTTACAAGCTTCAATAACAAAAAAATTTAACATATATTTCAAAACAGAAAAGGAGCTAATTCAAGCTCAAAGATGTGCTATATACTATTTTAACACCAGATTGCAGTGGCAATCACACCTGAAGAAGACAAACAGCACCAATCATTCAACTTTATATTCTGGTTACAAGAAAAGATCGCTGAGTAGTATAGAAGCACATGCCTCACAAAGTTTAGAAAAGAAACCAAAAGGTTCATATAAGCTTAGAAATCCACATACTGGACATTTTGTTAGTGAACGAAGTAGTAGAACAAATAGTGTTTCTAGATCAAGAAGCACAACCAGAAAAGCACTCAATAGTTTAGAAAATAGAATAGTGCAAGAGCAAGAATATTACACAACAAAATATGCAACTAGCTCAAATAGAGTGGAATTAGGAAATAGGAAAAGAAAACAAATTAAAACCCAAGAAGCTATAGAAGATAATAACGAGATTAAAAGCATGCTTAATCAGATTATGAATAGACTTAGCAATCTAGAAAACCAGAGAAGCAATAGAAGCGACGAGGCCCCAAATCACTCCTAAGAGCACCCTAGTTAAATTAAAGAGAAAAAGTAAGATAGAACAGCCCATGACTATCTTGCAAAAGGAAATACCTAATAGGCTAGATATAACAGAAAGAATATCTTCTAGGGTAAACATAGAGTTAGCAAACACTACTAGCATAGAAAAAGATATGAAACCTAAAGATATAACACTAAGCTTAACATGCCACAATATTAATGGTCTCAAAACAAATCAACAAAAGTTTGAGCTCCTAGAGCATTGGGTGCTAGAAGAGAAAATTAATATAATAGGACTAACAGAAACGAATATTAGAAAAAAAGAAGGTTTTTATTTAAGTAAAAAATAGAATAATTTTAGGTTTTTTTGGTTGAAAACAGCAAAAAATAAGAAAAAGGGCTTAGAGGTAGCGTTAGGAGTTCAAACTTCTTGGAAAAATACCTGGGTAGTATAGATACAAATGAAGAGTATTTATTAGTAGCTAGATTCTTTTTTAAAAACATAGAGCTTATCGTAATTGTAGTATATATACTTCCAAATGATAAAGAGATAAAAAAGAGTATACAAAAGTATATACTAGATTTATTTATAAAAAGAAGTAAACAGGCTCATGTAGTAATAATGGGAGACTTCAACTGCATAGTAGATTCAAGTTTGAATAAGCTTGTTAATCAAGAGTCAGGTAAATATAAACCGTTAAGAATATATAGATGGTTGGAAAAAAACAATTTTGCTGATATGTTTAGATTTATATACCCACCAAGCAAGGAGTATACATGGTCCAACAGCATAAATGCAACAAGAATAGACCAAATTTAGATATCTGAGAATCTAATAGAAAGCCTCACAAGTGCAAAAATCTCGAATATGGAATATATTACTAAAAGTGATCATAGAGCAGTGCACGCTGTATTAGATTTGAGCTCGTTTATATTCAAATTGCCGGCAGCAATAGAGAAAAACAGAAAACATTTTAGAACAGTATACCTCTATGATGAAACAACAAATGAAAACTGAGAAAAATATAAAAAAATATTAGAAAAAAAACTAAAGAAAAAAGAAGAGTTACTTGTACAATTAGAGAAAAAAGTAGAAGTAGGTTGTGATATTAATAGTAAGCAGTCATCCCAGTTAGCAAATCAAATTTGGTCATTATTAAAAACGAGTATTTTTGAAGCAGCAAATAGAAGCCTTCCAAAAAAGAGAATATACAATATAATCATTCAAATTAAAAATAACAGCTCCAAAACACAGCTAGCAAGTTTAATAAAAGAGATAAGTAGATGGATAAAGTGTATAAGAAAAGCTAGCAATTTGGAAAGTTTTGAAGAGATGAGGGCTGAGGTCAATGCAAGCATTAGAAAAGCAAACAAAAAAATAGAACTCGAGATGCCTAAGATAAGATTAGAAAGCTATGTAGAGTGGCTAGAAGATATAAAAGGTTGGTGGAGAATAATAAATAAGAAAAGAGCTGAGAAACTAGAAGTTACCAAACGCAAGGAAATAGAACTAAGCATAGACCGGAGATGTGAGCTAATTGAAAATAAACAAGGAAAAATGCTAAGCGGCCTTCTAGACAAACCTCGCAATAAAATTACAATAGATAGAATTTTCAAAGAACAAAATAGAGATAGAACTTTAATTACAAAACCAAATCAGATTTTACAAGAAACTAGATCACATTATAAGAAACAAATGCAAGAAAGATTACCCGAAAAGCCAGAAGAGGTAGAAGCTTGGGCAGAAGTTTATCATCCAATTAGTTGGGTTCAGAAAGATTGGTATTCTGACATAGAAAGCGAAATTACAGAAGAAGAGTAGATTTCTGTGTTAAAGTCTTTAAAAAGTGGCACAGCTCCAGGCTTATCAGGGATTACATATAGTCTTCTCAAAAATGCGAGTGCGGTAACTCAAGAGTATTTTAGATCTTTTGCAAACTTCTGTATAAGAGAGCTGGTCATACCAGAGAAGTGGAAAAAAGCACAAATCTATCCAATACCAAAAAGCACAAGTTGGAACTATGACTTAGAGAACACAAGACCAATTGCTCTTTTAGAAACATTTAGAAAATGTATAACAAAAATCATTACCAATAGGCTTTTAAAAGTGCTTACTAAATACCAAATTCTTCAAGGATGGAATTTTGCAAGGTTGCCAGGAGGTTCTACTAAACATCCAGTTCATATATTAAACATGATTACAGAAGATGCGAAAGAGAAAAATGCTGAGCTATGGGTGGTTCTACAAGATATAAAGAAGGCTTTTGATTCAGTATTACTAGAGATGCTACAAAGAACAATGGAAAGAGTAAAGATTCCACCCAAAACAATAGAATTGATTCTAATACTCTTTAAAAACAGAAAATCGCATATAATAACAGCAGTAGGTTTCACAGACCCAGTTGAAATGAAAGATGAGATAGAACAAGGAGAGGTTTTCTCACCACTACTCTGGCGGATCTTCTATAACCCACTATTAATAAGAGTACAAAAGAGCAAAGAGCTTGGCTATATCATAGAGGCTCTAAACTCTAACTTGCTACAAGAGGGTGAAGCAAAGAATGAGAAAGTAAAGGTGGCAGTTGTAGCATTTGCAGATGATAATACATGGGTTGCTCCTAATAGACAAGTAATGAAAAAAACGCTTACGATTGCGAATGAATTCTTCGAGCTCAATGATATACATTAATAAGAAAAAGTCAAACATTATAGTTTTCAACCCAGAGCCCAAATCAGAAGAAAGATATATTATATTTGGTGATGAGAAAATTAAAGAAGAAAGAGCAAATAACATAATGAGAGTTCTTAGAATATGGCTCAACTGTAGAATGAATGAGAATTTGGTGCATAAAAAGGCCAAAGTAATTGTATAGCAAACAGTAGAAGCATTAAAGTAGAAAAAGCTTACAGTTAGCTAATTAGCGTATATTAATAACATGTATATTATATCCAAACTCTGTTACCTGCTTCAATTATCAAGAGCATCTAGAAACTTAATAGACAAGATCCATCAACCAATAATTAGGCTAGCAAAAAGCAAACTAGACCTTCAAGTTATAGTACTGAACTATGTAACCACACACAAGAATATAGGAAATTTTAGAGTATTAAGCACAGAGCTATTAAATAAACAGATCACAAGTCTATATAATAGATTAAATGATAAAAGGATAATTAACAAAATTACTGAGCTGAGAATTTGGCAAGGATACCGAATAGTTGGTTCAACAGAGAACTTTGATGGCTGAGAAGAATATATAGTGCTTGAAAAACTTCAAAAATATAATCAAGCAATGCTAACTTTGATAAAGAGAACAAAAAAGCAATTAGTAATTAAACCAACACAAGGTAGTTGGAGAACCAGAGATATAGGTAGAACAATATGTAGTATGATAGGAGGAAAAGCTTTCATGCAGTGTGCAAAGATGTTAAAATCCCTAGATCTAATATTTATCGAACAGCTCTTGGATATGCAGAGGAAGCAAATGATCACATGGTATTATCTTAAACGAGTCAAGGAAAGATCTAGTAAAGGAAAAGTTCCAATCTGGTTTAAGTCAATCGAGAATCAGATGATCACTAACTTTGATACAAGAGAGATAAAGCAAGATCTGCAAACAAGTAGCACAAACAAATTAGCATTAATACCCCAAAGAGTGAAGGTCTCAGAAGACAAATATAAACTCGATTGGATACTAGTCAACAACAAAGAGAACGAGCCAGACATTCGAAGAGTAATTAGCAAGAGCAAAGAAGGATTTCGCACAGAGAAGTGGTTAGTTAGCAAAGAAAAGAAAGATAAAATCAAAATAGATAAAGAAGCAATTACGTCAAGCAACACCCAACAAACAAAGTGAATCAATAAGAAAAAAGTAATCACAGTATTGCAAGGGCTTAGAAAGCAAAATAGTAGTTGGGTTCTTGATATAATGCAAAGCTCACTTGAAGAAATTAGAAAGAATAATATTGATCCAGAAATAGCTAGTAGGAGGGAAATAGGTAGAGGTTTATATAGTTTAGGAATATTGTGATGGGTTGTTATTAAATCAACTAGATAGAAATATAGAAACAGACCAAAAAGTATTAACTTTCTATACAGATGACTCATTATTCAAAAAAACAAGTAATGGAAGAGCATTATACAGACAGGGTTTAGGTTAGCTGCAAGTTGACGAAAAAGAAAAAACTAAGTTACAGGAGAGGTGCTTAAGTATAGAACATTGGCCATCATCGACAAGAGCTGAATTAGCAGCAATATGGGTAGTTCTACTTATAGCTTCGATAAAGACCAAAATCAAAATTTATACAGATAGTACAGCCGCAATAGATGCAATCAAAAAAGGTGAAGGTTTGAGAATGAATAGAGAATAGCTAAAACAAAAAAATTATTTTTTGCTACTCAAAATTATAGATGCCAAAAACACAAAAGAATTGAAGCTAGAACTAATTAAAGTTAAGGGTTATAGTAAGAACAAATGGAATGATGAGGCAGATTATTTAGCAAAGAAAGGGTTACTAGTACCAGATCTACGAATACAAGAAGTAGTATCAAGTTCAAGGCTTAGATATAATATTTATTGGCAGAACAGCCTTATCAAAATTCCAATAAGAAATTTCATCAAAGAACTCGAAGATACAAGAATTGCAGCAGAATGGAGAATGTTAAGTACTGTAAGTCTACTCAAGCCAAGAGACAATACACAGAAGTGGGATTGGAAAAGTCTATGGAGAAGAATTAAATCCCAAAGTGGAGTGCACTGTACATCAATATGAAAAGGGAAAAAGCTCAATTTCCTGATTAAGTGTCTGCATAATCAGCTCCCAGTACTGAGCAATCTTGTTAAAAGAAGGCCAGACCTATATAAGAAGAGTAGCTGCAAGTTGTATAAAGATAATATAGAAGAAACACAAGATTATTTAGTATTCTGCAGAGCATAGCAGACCAATTGGCATAAAATTAAGCAAGCGGCAATTGAAACAGTACAAGCTCTTATAAGTGAACCTGAGAGAAGGAGGAAATTACGAACAAGTGAACTCCAAAAATGTTTATTTGGTGAAATGTACAAAGAGCAAAAAGAACGAAGAGAAGGCTACACTCTGAGGTCTATTTAAAAGCACAGTCATAGAAGAGCTCATCGACCAAGGCTTAACAAAAAGAGAAGCAAATCTAGCTTTAGACGCAGCAATACATGTCTTGTAGAATGGACTTTATGAAATTGTATAGCAATTAAGATGTGAAAAGATGATAGAGTGGGAACAAGAAAAAGGCATTTCTAAGCAGCAAAAATTAGGAAAAAGGACCAAAGTGCAAAATAAAAAGAAGGTTAACAGGGAAAAAAAGAAAAGAAAAGACAGAAACACAAAAAAATTCTTATCAGAAGAGTAGAAAACTACCTAATCCTAAAGAAGCCATACTACAGAAAGTTAAAGATAGAAAGAAAATTACAAATAGAAGAATAGATGCTTTAGTAAGGAAGACAATGTGGAATAAAATTAGAGTCGGTGAAAAGCCATTTTGGTGTAGCACTTAGGCTGATTTAACACAGCCCCTAGTTTTTAGAGTAATCTTCAAATTAGTGCGGCAGGTTGTACTTGAGTGCCTTTTAGATAGCCGGGTGATGTCAGGCTTGCAAATTAGGAGTAAACAAGTGTATAATTTAGTAATATACTTAGAATCTTAATAAAGTACTGGCGAAACTGCCTAAGATTAAAAAAAAAAAAAAAAAAAAATTATTTTACTCTTTTACTTTTGTCAGATTGCAGTTTAAATAATATATTAATACGTAGTTTACACACCTCACCTGATGATCTGAATTGGAGGTGCTTCAGCTATAATCTGAGGCAAGCGTTAGTCTGAGGCACAACATATACATACAGCATTAATATTTATTTATTTTAACATTAATAAAGTTTGTCTTATTAATTAATTGCTAAAAATAGATATCGATATATCAAATAATATATAATTTGTTAATAATTATTTTTCCTGACAATCATTTATGGTATTAATTTTCAGACTTTTAACTAATATATATAATGCTGATTAACTACGCAAATAATTTTAGGAGATTAAAAATGTAAAGATGATTGGATATCTATCTACTAGCAATTTGGCTTACAAAATAAGGGATAAGATCTTTATATTAAATTTTCATGCGTAAGTTAATTTAAGCTACAAAGAAATTCTTTATATTCACTAATAATTCATTAAGTATCATATCTTTTTAATGTCAAGACATTTATATAAATATAAAATCTGTGCACCTTGATAACAGTATATTATTTGGTTTAATGTCATTGAGTATAATTGACTTTTAATAATTTTAAGTTTGTAAAGAAAGTGATTTTTGGAGAAATAATTATCAATGTTATTGTGTTTTGTGGACTCTGCAAATCACAATATTATATAGGAATCAGTAATTCCATCGATTTTAAGAATTTTATCAATTTTAAAAAAATATAAACATAACTATTCGAAAATATAAAACAACAAACAATCTAAAATCTAAGATTTCTCTAAACACATTTACAGAAATTATTCAGCTACATCTTTTTGCAAACTGCAATAATATATGAAATTGTTGTGTAATTGATTTTAATACTTAAATTTTTTTTTTTTTTTACTAGTTAAGGTAACCTCTTTGGCCTAAAAGCTTTTATTAGTGACTAAACAATATCTTATAATACAATTACAATAATATTATATCAAGCCACATGTGTACTTTTGGTGCCTAATTTAAGTAGTCCGCCCAAAGCAGTAGTGCTATGCTAAAGGTTCTACACTATCTGCCATACCTGCACCCCAACTACAGGAATATCCATTTAAACTATCTGATTACAACTGCTATCGACTACCCAACTAACCCCGGGCTTACTCACCATTTATGTATAGATTTTGCATCACCCTGGCAGAGAATATACTGACTGCTTTAGGACTTACCAACCATTTCTGGCTAATCTATCCTTGAGGTAAACCTAACAGAGTAGTACATGTCCTACACATGTATTCATCTGCATGTTTCTATAACTTCTTTCTAATTAATACATATTGACCAGCCATTTTGTATTTGTATCTCATGCCACCTTTTGGAGTGCTGCCATTCTACAGACGTTTCTCAAGCATCAACCTTCCTAACTAGGCACCTATTATGTACTCCTTGCTCTTATTTGGTTCACAACAACCTTGATATCCACATTTAGACCATCTCCTTACCCAGATTCTTTACCGGTCCCTCCTTTATTTCCAGCTAACAACTTGGAAGAGTTGGTCTGTCCAGGCTTTAGGTGCTTGAAGGACACCCTCCTCTTGGTTTATACTTTTAGAGCATATACACTTTTCTCCGGTGTGACAACCTGGTGGTTCAGCTAATGTGTTCTCCGCTAGTGGACCTGATCGCTCGGTTCACCGATCTCGGGCCCTGTGGTACTGTCAAAGATCACTGCTCCCTCAAAATTCAGAACTTGCCAAATGGGTTTTCAGTTATTCTGGTTTCTTAGATTTATTGTGCCAAAGCTCCCATAACTAGATGGTGTGACCGAGATTATAGATTTAGCTCTAGATCCAACTGATAATTGACAACTGTAAACTGTAACACAGGCTATTATTCAAATATTGTTGCCAGTGAGATTTGAACTCTAGATCTGCCACTTGGAGAGGGTGATGACTAGACTACTACACTAAGTCGCCACATCTCTTATTTTAATACTTAAATTATTCAGTTCAATTCAATTATTTATTTATTATATTTGAAGCGAATTTATATATACCATTACTCTTTGATTACTTAGTATTTAAAATTTCTCCATATATCTACTGTATTATACAATAAATTGTCTCTATATTTTATTTAATTATTTGTTTAAATTTACAAGTGATCTTGTATATTTGATTACTATTCAATATATTATTTTTTTCTTTTTGTATTATAATTCTGAAAGTTTCTTACTTCATAAATTAATACTTGTTATTTAATGGATATTTGTAGATATGGTGTATTCCACAGCATAGTGGACAACCCCGAATTTGGATGTGGCTTAGCCAATTTAATAAAAAAATTTTTTTGATTTTTTATACAGTTTAAAGTACTTCGTATTCTCGTGATTTTTCGAAACTTACCAATTAAGTT